AACCTATTAGCGATGGCCTCCAACCTGCTTGCGATGGCCTCCAACCTAGTTGCAATGGCCTCCAACCTACTAGCAATGGCCTCCAACCTACTAGCGATGGCCTCCAACCCACTTGCGATGGCCTCCAACCTACTTGCTTTGGATTCTGCTCAGACACAAATCGTGAAAGTTGAAATCGATTCAGGCTGTCCCCGAAGCCAGTCTCATCATCGAAGACCACTTCCAACAAGGCACGGCTATTGTGGGTCAATTGGATCACACGCTCAGCCTGACGTGAGATTCACAGCGACCAAAGCTTTGCTGCTCTTATTATGTTTCTACTTAATTGAGTAAGGAGGTAAGCTACTAGCAATAGGAAACTCCTAGCTAAAGGACGCAAGCTCCCCCCACCTGAGAGCGGGGGGAGCTTCCTTGAAGAAGCGCTCGCACTCATGATTTGGTTCCTGGTTTAGGGACATAGTAAGCTTAAGTAGCTGGTAGTAAGGGGTAAGTCGGAGACCTTGGAAGCTACGAGTAGCTGGAACGTAGGAAAGCTCAGGCTTCTTCAAGGAAGCCCTTGCACTATTCATTTGGTTCCTAGATCTTGGGGGGAACTTCAGCCGGCACCAAGGGCATGTCAAATACTTTTGTTTGCTCAATTTCTAGAAACAGGTCTTCATCTTGTCTGGCTACCTTATTCCCATGTATTCCCCTTTCTCACAGCCTACACCCATGAGCAATGCTCCCCAAAAAATTAACTCACGACGGTCTCGGCTCTGGCCCTGTTTTCTTGGAAGCCCGGCAATCTCCAGCAGATTGCAGCTGCCGCGTCCAGGAAGCCTGAAAGCAAACAAAAGGTAAGAATGCATAAGGAGTACTTGCAATGGCCTCCAACCTACTAGCAGTGGCCTCCAACCTACTAGCAGTGGCCTCCAACCTACTAGCGATGGCCTCCAACCTACTAGCGATGGTCTAATTAAATTCTAATTAATAGCTATGTGTTCCTAATAGCTAACATTGTTACTACTAGCGATGCACTTGTTACTAGTAGCGATGCCAGGAGCCCCTAGTAGCGTGGCACTTGCTACTCTCGGCCTGGCCATTTCACTCCGCCCTGCACCGACGAAGACAGTCTCATCTGCAGCCGCCTTGTCGAGCCGCTCTTGCAAGTTCTTGAGCAAATGGAACATGTAACAATCACGTAGACTTTTGTAGACTTCACTTCAAAAAATCAGAAACGGATTGAAGACTGCTCCTGCTCGTGGATTTCCCAAAGCTCCGCATCATTTCCAGTTCTGGCAAGGCCTTAGTGCGCTCGTTGTCGCCGCTGCCGGAATGAGACGAAGCCACACTGACAGCGAATGAGCACGTTTCCGGCCATGCGTTTTGCATCGTTTTCCTCAGGCATCGGAGTGTGCCTCCACGTTTCGAAGCGCATAAGCACTGAAGAACGTCGCAAGCAATGCCCAGACGGCAAATGCCAAAGAGATTTGCAGGTAATGCCAATCCGCTGCCAAGGCCAGCGTTGCCAAGGAAGGGCCAATGGCGAGGCCTGTCACAGGCATTTAAGTTATTTACAGTAAATGCAATAGATTGTCTCAGAAACAAGGACCTACCACCAAAATCCCTTGGTTCGGACCTAGCAAATATTGCAATTGTGCCTATTGTGCTACCTTGGCTGTTTCTCAACTCACTTCGGTCTTCTCAGCCTGCATTGATGGCCATCTCCGAGGCAGTCAAAGCTTGTCCATAGCCCAAGTTTTGAGCCTTCGCCAAATCGGCCATCATTGACATTGCTGGAGCATCCACAGCACCCAAAGCGGCGCTCGCAATGATCAAGGTTGACAAAATGGGAACTAACAAGGTGCTATGCAGCATCCAAACTCCAAACACAATGCTCAACAGCAAGATTCCCAGCAACGCTGGTGTGTAGAGCAGTAGATGTTGACGATTCTGAGCGGAGCCTGCAAAGCGGCCTGCCCATTGGGACAGTAAGCACTGCATGAGGCCCGCAGGCATGGTGATCATGCCGATCCATGAGGACGAAAAACCATTCCGCTGGAGTTCAATGGCCCCAGCAGTGATGAAGGCATTGTTTGCGGCAAAAATGCAGAGAAGTTCGAAGGTCAAGACTAACACTCTGCCAGTTCGAAATAAGTATAGGCCACCACAGGCCTTCGCAAATAAATCCGAGCTTTTACCACTTTCCCTAGGTTTTAGAAGAGGATCAACTTTGGATCCAATATCTGCTATCATCTTGGAGATTGCTATGAAGAGCAGCAATGGAGGGACCGCTGCCCAGAACTGTGGCTCAGGAAGATGTTCGTTTTGTGCAAGGTCAAAAAGACCGCCCATGCAGGGTGGGCCAGCCATGTTGCCCAGAGATCCTTGTCAAATGGCTTGTCATGGCTTGTCTAGATTCCCAACAAGAGCCTTTCTGTTTTCTTGAAAAAAATCGAGTAACCTCGAAAATTAATGACGAAATATCTCTAAGATATCTAACACCAAATCCAAACGACGAGTCTTCAAACCCAAGCTTCCCAAGCCAACGGCCAACCCCAAATGCTCCGACCTCTTGGGCTCACTGAAGTGTTCCATGATCAAAGCCATCGCTGAGTTGAAAATTACCTGAGTCCACCCACGAATTACTAGCAATTGCCTCCAACCTGAGAGCGATGGCCTCCACCTAATAGCGTCCTTTCCAAAAAAATCGCGAAACAAACTGACACAAAAAACTGATGGGGGTTATATAGATAGGTCGGTAGATTAGATAAGTTTGATTGAGGAAGAGGAAGCTACTACATGGAAGGTTGCAGAAGCTTCGGGTTTTCGTCACAACTGAGGACTCGTCCGAGGTGGCGGCTCCAAGGAGAATCCGTGCCAGGAGCTGCATTTGAAAGGTCGCAAAGGCCATCAGAGCGATGCTAGCGAAGGAGATGAAAACACCCAACTGCAGAACGGCTCGTGCGCCGTACTTGTCGATGCCAAAGCCCGCAGGTAGCAAAGCCGCCACCGAGGCCCAAGCTTGGGTGCTCAAAATGATGCCGACCTCACCCTTGGAAACTAAAAATGGGACAATCGGCACATATCCTTGCAAGATGTAGAGGATGGTAAATATCACCAGTCGCGACACCCAAACCACCGCTGAGCTTTGTGGAGCCATAGCGTGGTGTCGTCTTGTGTCTTCAGCTTATTGATTCAACAAAAATGTGAAGAGCCGGGCTTGGCAGCTTACCCCAGTTAAAAAAAATGTGCCCACGCTCCGGTCATGCAGACTTCGCAGACTTTCTGCAGCACATGCAATCTGTAATCTGTGTCCAACTAATTTTTGCTCTCTTTCAATTGCAAGAATGTTGTATCTTTTGTCTGCAATTGGGAAGCTGGGAGCCCAGAATCATCTATAGGCATTCTCAAAAGGATCTACAATAATCTACAAAATGCTACGGGCAGGCAATATAACACCCCACCCCAAGAACCTTCGGCGATAAAACATGCCAACGCCATCTAGTACCTGTCTTTTGTTTTGTTGGGCTGCCGTACGCTCCCGGGCCAAACGAAGCTGCTCCCCGAAGCGAGCTTCCACGCACCTCAAGGCACACGTCACACCAAGACGGGGTGTCAACATCTCTCTTTGACTATTGTCATTCTCTTTTCATGATACTTGTGTTTCTTTCTCTTTTGATACCTTTTGTGATTAAGATTGATTGAGGACTCTTTGGCCTTGCCTCTCAAGTTGCTCAAGTGTCTCTTTTACGCTTAGCCACTAAGGGGTAGCTCAGCCCAAAACAGCACAGGGAGCCGTGGAGCCATGGAGAATAGTTTTCCCTTCTTGATGGATTTGCAAAGTGTAGCTTCTAGTAACAAGTGCCTTACTAGTAGTAACAAGAAGCTATTAGGAACAAGTGCATCGCTTCTAGTAACAAGTGCCTTACTAGTAGTAACAAAAGCGTTTGCTTTGCTTTTGCCAAAAGCACCGCGGCTTGGGCTCCCGAGCCGACGCTGCAACCAGAGCACAGCGTGTGATGTGCCAAAACCCGTGCAATGCAGCAGTTGTTCCTCGCGAAATCCCCCGCTCGAAGCAGTGGGATGTACTGGGTACGAAAAATTGTTTCATGTTGTCATACAATGCTCCATGCATCCCATCATTGACATCGTTACTAGGGGCTCGTGGCATCGCTACTAGGAGCAAAGGGCATCGCTTCTAGGGGCTCTTGGGCTTACTACTAGGGCAAGGATGCTACTTAGGGCACAAGAGGAGAAAATGAGCAGCCTTGAGCCTTCGCTCGAACAGGAAAGGGTACGTCAGCGGCAAAGCCTATGCACAAGGCAATTTGGCTTCCCAAGAGCACTTGATTCTTAAGATGTCAACACAAGAGAAGCCATGTCAACAAGTGTTCATCGAAAACTTGACCCGCCTTCACCCAGGAAGGCACCACGCCACCCGCCTAAGAATGAGACGAAACCGTTGCTGAGAGATTGAAGAGGTGAAGTTGTTGAGGTGAAGGCGGTGAGGAGCGGTTGAGCCAACTGATGCGCCAATTTTCGGTTGAGCTGATCGTTCTCCCAGCCTCGGTTTTACAGAATCAAAGGCGAAACGAATCACATATTGAAACGAGACAAAACTTTGTCGGAAATTCCCAAGGCTGGGGCCAAGGTCCCCTTTGGTGAAGCGTCGGAGCCGGCGCAACAAGGCCAAAAGGGTGGCCTTGGGCCGTACCAGATTCGATTCTTGTAAAAAGAAAGTGCTAGTAGCGATGCCCTTTGTTCCTAGTAGCTTCTTGCTCCTAGAAGTAAGGCCAGGAGCCCCTAGTAGCTTCTTGTTAGTAGCGATGCCAGGAGCCCCTATGAACTCAAAGCACTGAAAGAAATTCCGAAGTCCCAACCGGTGGAAAGAAGAAAGGTTGAAAAACACATGCGAGAAGAATAGCTCGGTAGAAAGGTGTTAAGAGAAAATACAATATAGATCCAAAAAAATAAAAACGAAAAAAACAATCCAAGACCTCCTCCAGCCAAGTCACCGATTCACCCTCAGCTCCAGCACGACCAGCTGCTTGGACGCCGGTATGGTCTCGCCGCAATGTGGTTGGAGCGCCATTCTCCTGTATCATGAGCCGCAACAAAGAAGAAAATAGAAAAGTCGAAGCTTTAAAGAGAAGAGAAAGGTCTAAAGGTCTAAAAGGATGAAAAGGGGAAAGGACGCTCCTAGTAGCTTCTTGTTACTAGTAGTAAGGCCAGGAGCTACTAGTAGCGTCATTGCTCCTAGTAGCGATGCCCTTTGTTCCTAGTAGCTTCTTGTTCGTAGAAAGGTCTAAAGGTCTAAAAACATAAAAAGAAAACAACGAAAACATGTGTAAAATAATCTTGCGTGCGGAGTCAGGGTAAAGACCAGCAACAGCATGCTGTCAAGAAGACAATGTTTTGCGTGTTTTGTGCACAAGATCAGTAGGAAAACGTTGAGATCTTTTCTGCGTGTTTCTTTAGACCTTTATGTGTTTTCTGCGTGCATTTGTCTCTTTAGATCGTTCTTCTAACTGTTCCTTTATCTGTCCATGTTTTCGATCTTTCGTTGGACCGTCCTTCCTTTTCTTTCTTCTTTAGACCTTTCTTCCAGCCCTTTCTATAGACCTATTTTCGTCCTGTCTGTTGTGTGTTTTTTGGGCCTTCCTTCTTTTATTGAGACCTGTCTTCCCTTTCACTTTTTTGGACCGTTCTTTTTGTACTTATTAAGACATGATGCATTATCATGTATAATGTTGTTTCATTTTGTTTGTCTTCAATGGATGTTTCCTTCAGACCATTCTTCCTTTTGTATTTGCATTTTAATGCATGTTCATTGTGCGCTGGATGTTGCAGTCCTGGTTAACGCACCGCTCTGCGGAGTCTGTACGGAGGGCATAGCGCAAACCTCGGAAGGTCGGGCATGCCAGAGTCCCAGTTTCCCGCCGTTCTTCAAACCGAGTAGAAGTATACTCCTACTAGACTTTCATCCCTGTGTTTAATACTAAACGAAATGCGATAGCCTCCAACCTACTAGTAGAAAAATATTCCTGCAGCACAAATTTGGTATCGAGGCTGTGTTGCGAGATTCCTTCTCCGCATGGCTGAGACTATGACGCTGGTCTTTCGATCGTGACACCGCAGGAGTGTGTGAATCTTCCCAGAGCAACGCTTGCAGCACTGTGCACCTCAGGCTGCAAACCGGATGTGGGAAACTCTACGATGGGAATCACTGCTCCAGTGAGGATGTGTATTGAACAAAAAACATCATGCGCCGCCCATATTTCCAATAGTCTTTCGACAGACCAAAAGGCTCTTTGTTTGCAAAGAATACAAAGCATTTTTTTCATTTGATCTTGCCAAGCAGCTCCAAGGGCAACGGTGTCTCCTGCCAATCTGGGCGCCAAATCTTGACTGGGTTCCCTGCTTCAATTGACTTGCTCCGACTTCCATGACTTGACAAATATGCTTCCTACAAATTACCGAGGTGTCTTGGCATACACAAGATACAAGCCTACAAGCCTGAAAAAGATAGTGCTGCACTTGTTGCTTAAGGTCCAAACACAAAAAAAATGTATTTGCCCGGTTTGCCCTCGTATTTTCCACTAAGCGGTGAAAAAGGTTCTGAAAACACTGCACATACACGGTGCTATGGGTTTGGGGTTACTCGCATTGTCGTCCCGGAGTTCATCCACTGCCAGACGCCGATTTTGGCCGCCTTGAGACTTTTTCCTTGTTTGTTAGGCCCTCGAGCCACTCCATCCATGACAGATCACTGTGCTGGACAGGGGTCTTGCGTGGCTGCTTCAGCGCTTGACACATAGAGTCCAAGCCCGGATGTTGGCTAAACCTCAAAGCAGACAGGGCATCCGCGTGCTCACTTTGCAGTTCTGCGCATTGATTTTTGAATCACAGCCGCCAAGGACTTTGTTGGCTTTGTCAAGCAACATTGGCGGCAGTGCTGTGGTCGAAGAACAGCAGGAAGGGTATATCGTCGGTGCTTGCAAATCATCTCTGTGTAAATGACTTTGAGCCCCTTTGAAGCGTCATTGCCGATGGTATGCTTGTCGCTGGAATTCGTTGGACATCTTTTTATGCAAAGTGGCAATGCGTTGGCCGTACCAATTGCGCCTGGTTCTTGCAAGGAAGAGCAGCTCGTTGACCAGTAGTTCTATGTTTTGCAGGGCTCTTGTATGACAATGAATGCCAATGACACTCTGTGAAATCGATGATAATGTCGTGAAATCGATGCCCCTTCCCACCCCCCCCATTTTTGTAATCACACGGCTCATTGATGATAATGAATGCCGATGACATTGTGAAGCCGATGACAATGTTGTCAAATCAATGGTAATGTTATAGTAAATGAAAACGATTGCATGTTACAAACAAGAGCATATTGCGTCTGTCAACCTATCTTAACACCCCAGTCACGCCTGTGCATCGCCAGCCTCAACATGGCTGCTTTTGGTCACGGTTCCGATAGGTAAGAGAGCTGTTAAAGGAAGCTTTGCAAGAACAGCTTGTACGGAGAGCCACTAAGTAACAGGAAGCTACTAGTAGAGACACAAAACTCCAAGGACATTTACTTCTCCATCCTAGCAGGAGAAGCTTGAAGATTCCTTCGATTGGTAGAAATCAGTTGGTATTTTGAAGGAATTGAGATACGCAGCACAAGTTCTCGTGAAGCTTGAATCGCAATGCTGTGAGGTGGTGTATTCTTGCGAATGAAGGAAAACTAGGTCTGATTGGATTGCTTTCGCTCGTCTTGCAAAATCATATTTACAGGATCTGTGGTTCGATGTGCTTGAAAAGTGCTCGACGTAGACTGAAACTTCCTCTTACGTTCTGTGATCGCTTACTGTACCGGAAAGGGATAGCCACACATAGTTTTGCAGTATGACTAAGCTCCCAACGAAGAAATCCACTCGTAGTCGTGGAGCGCTCTGTGCACACGTGCCCTTGGCCTCAGATAGTGCTTGGGCACGTGTGCTACCTGACAGTCACTTCCCCAGATTCGTCTTCTCAGAGAATCGGGTTAAACGTCACCCATGCACACAACGCTATATTTAGAAATAAAATGAAATAAACGTACATGGAAAAAACGTCGATGTGATGTGACAAGAGTCTCAAGAGAATGCAATGAGCACTGAAATGCAAGCTGTTGATGTTCTCAAGCCTTGAGTGGCTAACGGTCTTGTCAAGTCAGGTCTTATGTTTTTTGGAATGAGGAGCATCTGAGGAGCACTCGAATACATTATTCTTACGAATCTGTTCATCAAGTTATCCTCTTCCTATCCTTTCCTCCCGTTCCCTTCGAGTCTCCACACGAGCTCCGTGTCATGGGATGGAACGTCCTGAGAGAAGCCGAAACTGAGCGAAAAGGTGCTGAAACCATGGACTCCTCCTTCGCTCGAGATGAAACCCGAATGGTTTCTTCGGCATCGGTAGACCTGGGACCTATGGGACCTATGGAGCCTATGGTCCGTTCGTAGCGATGCCCTTTGCTCCTAGTAGCGATGCCAGGAGCCCCTGGTAGCGTTCTTGTTCCTAGTAGCGATGCCCTTTGCTCCTAGTAGCGAACATTGCTCCTACCCTAGGCAAAGAATTGACGACTCCAAAGCCCCCTCGACCCTCTCCTCCTCCTGGCGAAAATGCTCCTCGCCAAGCTTTCGTTCAAGCCTTGAACTGATTTCTTCTGTTTTTTGCAGCACAGGATGCGTTACAATGCACAATAATGCACAGCTAGGAACTTCAAAAACACCAGCATGGCGGCGAAGGCGCACTCAAACAAACGAGCTGAATTGTTTCCGGAATGGACTGGCTTTCGAAGGATCGACGAGGCGTGAACTCTTAGGCCCTGTCACTTTCTGCGTGAAGTCGTTGACTGGACCTCGATCGATCCCACTGAAGTTCCTCTCTAACCTCAGCTGGTCCAATAGCAAACAGACATGTTGGAGACACAGTCTATTGTAATATCCAGTTTTGTATGTGGTCCAGTGAGACTCATCCTGTGCTTTTGGGTCTGTCGCTTCCTCTCTCACCGCATCTCTTCGCGGAGTGCACTCTCCTTGTCGGCCCTACGCCCACACGTACTTATAGGCACTTTCAAAGTTGAACACTGGTTGTGGGCAGAGGCGTGTCCTATGGATGATCCAGTTGAGCGTGTGCAACTTTCCCTGTGCCTGACATGACCATGGGCCATCTTTGATTTTTTCGTCTTCTTGTTCCCTACCTGTCAGGTGAGGGTCCGCCTCCGGCACCTCCGCCTCCTGCTCCTCCGCCGCCTCCTCGCAGTGTTCCCTGCCGGACCTCAACCGCGAGTCAGAAGACATGCCAGATAGGACGCCAGAAAAGAGTGTCAGACAGAATGTCAGAAGATATGCAGTATGCAGAAGATATGCCAGAAAGAATGTCAGAATGTCAGAAGATATGCAGAAGATATGCCAGAAAGAATGCCGAAATAATGTATCAATACATGCCAGATAATTTGTCAGATTGAAATGTCATGAAATGTCATGGTGGGGATCACTCGAAGTAAAGTAGGTTAGTGATGGTCAGTGTATTTTTTGCTTTATATCTTGTCCATACTAAATGGGAGGTAACAGTTTTTCTATACAGGATTGATATTTGTAGTGCTGTTGGTAAATTTTGGCTTTTCAATGCCCAAGGAATTACAAAAACCCACCTTGCCGTACTCTTGCCAGTGGGCATGCGCTGCCAAAATAAACGCTTATCACAAAGAATACAGCAACACGGAAAGTAGATGTTTGTGTGTGTTCCTCACTCCAAGGTCGAGAACTCATGTTAAACTGGCTGCCTTCAGTTTGCTTCACCATTCTTTCAGATTTCTGAGAACATGAAAAAGTGAGAAATGTACATGACAAAACGAGAATCTCACATGATTGTCCCATATTATCCCTTGAACAATTTAAGCCAAGCCGTTTGGCGAGTGCTTAAGGCAACCCTCCTTTAGGCTCGAGGATGGAATCAAATTGAGTCTGCTGCGCAAGTAAAGCACCATTTCGCGTGGCACCTTTGCAAGCACATTGAGCATCGAGAGAAAAATATCGAGAAAGCATGGCCTCCGACCCAATAGAGTTCTCCAACATATGTGTTTTTTTCCTTACTAGTAGTAACAAGTAGCTATTAGTAACAAGTGCCAACGCTAGTAGTAACAAGTGCCTTACTAGTAGTAACAAGTAGCTATTAGTAACATGTGTTTTTTCCATATACGTGTTCTTCATGTTCTTTTCGATCACATGTATCACAGCATGGCTGGATCTCGTCTGGGTCTCGAGCCCAAGCGTCGAACCCGGCGGATCCTGTGATTGGGGTGCGTCATGTTCGTCTGGGTCCCGGCACCTCAAAAGCAACAAGGATGCGTTCAATAAATTTATAGATAATCGATTACAGAAAATGCTATTGTCTTGTTTTATCTCTCTTGTTTTGTCTTCTTTTCTTATTCTTTGTCTTGTTCTTCTTGTGTTCTCTTCTCCACTTGGATGTGTTCTTAGTTTCTTCAAGGCCTTTCTGAGTTGTGACGACCCGCTCGGTCGAGTGAGATAAAGAAAGAGTGTAACAAGTCTTTGACAAATCTTAAATCGTTTTTGTCTAAATATTTACTGTAATGTGTTTAGTTTTAATTCTATTTATTTCGTTCTATATGTTGTTTGCGTGCTTTTCCTCTTTTTGTTATTTAGAATAGTATCTGAGAGGCTCCTTGTATTCTACATTCTATCCTGTTTCGTTTCTTTGGACCTTTGTTTGTCTTTCCTCTTCCTCCGTAAAGGGTTGGTGAAAAAACTGTTTAACGTATTGTGCTCATGTTGAGCGTCTTCCTTGCCTCTTCCTCGTTCTTCTCTTGCTCCGTTCTCTACTCTGGTGTGCTGTCTGGGCTTCCGGCGAATGTCCACCAAATAACGATTTGATCCCGAGCGCACACTCACAGTGTCCTGCAACAGTGTCCACACAAACTACAAGATTCTGCGCAGACAAAGCGTAAGGCGTAAGCACAGCCCAAAGCTCAGCTCTTTCTCTTGTCGCTTCGAGGGCTATCACTCAAAGGACCTGAGCCCCTTGGCTGGTCCGAATAAGAAAGCACCATGCCAATGACCAAAATATGTTTTGAGAGTCTCCCTGCTGGAGATTCCAAAAGTCTGCCCAGTAGGGTCACACCCTAAGAGTGTGTCCTTTCCGGTGAGATGTCACTGGAAAATAGCTAAACAATTTGCAATGGCACTGAATGCAAAGAGCACGATGAAGAATCGACCTTGGCTTCCCCAATGGATGATTATTCTTCTATTTCCTTTTATTTAGCCCGCTCCGATCCTACTTCATTAAGTAGGCGCCTACTAAAGTAAGGGAGGAGTAAGCTACTAAGTTCGCTCCTAGCTAGGACAAATAGCTCACGCTCCTTTAAGGAGCGCCCTGAGCGTCACATCGTGCAATCTCAGTTGCTCCATCCGCTCGAAAACAATGGTAGCTTGTAGACCAACAACCTGAATTAGCTCTCAAGCAGCTCTATGCAAAGCGAAATGCAAGATGTTATGACGGTGACACCAATGGTAGCTTTGTTCATCCGCATTGTAAAGGTCCCACCCTGGGATGACCATCATCATCAACGTGCCCATGGTTGCTCCCAGAAAGCCAACTACGCTTGCAACGTTTTTCACCTCAAATCGCAAGAGGCAATATGATTCGTGGCGTCTTGAGTCTTGAGGCGATGCGATGGTCGTGTCAAGAATAAGACTGCGAGAGGCAAAGCTTCAAATCTGCGTCGTGAAATCCTTTTTGACTCAAATGGAGGTAGAAGGGAAACAAATGGGAATGGAGATGCAAAGCGCAAACCGCCAAATTCGCTTCTGCCAATTGGACACAAGCTCAATAAATTGGCCCAGTCACATAAATAGCTACGAGGGTGTCCATGGTCAAGCAAGCTATGCTCAAGCAGTATCTCACATATCGCCGCGGTCGAGGTTCCTGTGGCAAGACCAGCTTTGAATTCATCGGTCTTCTTTGCTTTTAGGCACCACAAGAATAAAAGAAATGCAAAGTGCACAAAGCAAGAAAAAGCATTGTATTTTTTTTTGCTACAGTGTGCTTCGCTCTTCTTATACATGTTACATGTGTTTTCTTTGCTTCCCCGCACTGCTGTATTGCGTCACACCTTTCAAGGGCCTCTCCTCGGGAGCTCGCTTCATCAGCGGCGGGGTCTTCAAGAGTGGCTCAGCATTGGGGCCTCCAATCCCGGCGAAAAAAGGATCGTGATGCTTTCAGAAGCTAATTGGTCTCACATTTGCCATTCCACCTTCCAAAGCAGGCTCTTTCAAGAATGGAAACAGGACCTGCCAGGTTCATAAGCTGAAAGTGCTGAATTCGACGAAATCTTCGACAAAATGACTCCCGTTTTTACATTTTGCCTCCAGCAAGCACAAGGATGCACGGACCTGAGGAGTGGGGGGGGGGGTAGGACGCTACTAGTAACAAGTGCCTCGCTAGTAGTAACAAGTGCCTTACTAGTAGTAACAAGTGCCTTACTACTAGTAACAAGAATTTAATCAGAATTGTAATTACTAGCAAATTGTCTTCTACTAGGACCTTTTCGCGCGCGCACGGACCTGAGGAGTGTGTTTTTGGGAAAACGAGGCACCAGGAGCACAGCGTCCAAGCGGCGGTGGGATTCGTGTTGGTGGCAATGGCTACGAGGACGGTAAAAGTCAGCCCGACTCCTTGGGACAGCAGCTGTACCGTCTGGACGACTGGATCTGTTCGCAAATTTGCACGATGGGTATGCCGGGTTGCCGCCACCCAATGTTGTTTTTGTTACTTCGCCAACTTACTGATGGTTTTCTTGTGACATTGTGTGAATATTGTGTGAGCACTCTGTCACTCTTGTCAACAGTGTACTCCCACTGAGTAGGACCTCCTCTATCTTTAGAGATGAGAAAGATCGGCCACTAGAAATGGACTATGTGCACTATTTTTGTGCACTCTGTGCACTGTTGACTCCAATACGCACAACGTCTTCTTCCGTAGTTAGTTGCCCCCGGTTGTTACTCACCACGACGGGGCACGGCTCGCCAGAATCCACGGATCACTCGCACTGTAGTTTTGCAGGAGGTTTGGCTTGGTGTCATCACCAAAGGTTCCGTAGCCTGCAACCTGAAGCGGCTTCTTCTCTACGTGTCAAATCCACTCAAGGCTCCCAAGGACACCACTGCCAAGAGCACATAGATGCCGAATTGAACGAATACAACTCCTAAATGGTGCAAACTGTTCGTCTAATCAGTCTGAGCAAACTGCAAAACATGCAAAAAACGAAGAGCTTAGAGGTTTCACATGGTTTCACATGGTTTCACATGGTTTCAAATGTCCAAGGGTCTCCAGCTGACCTTTTCGATTCGTCTGTCATTGGCATTCTCGAGCTCTTTTGCCACGGGTGTGACATTCCTTAGAGCAGTGCCCCAAAAGGTCTCAAATCTAACTACACCCTTTGTTACTCATAGCTTCGTGCTCCTAGTAGCGATGCCCTTTGTTACTAGTAGCTTCTGCACCAACTCTCTTGACTTGTTCTTTGTCTACGACTTATTTCAAGGTGTAGCTGGTGGACAGTGTAGGAAGTAGTGTCGGTAAATAGTAGGAGCGGAGTGTGACATAACACAATAATTGTGTGAGAAACAAGAGCTTGTCTCGTTTTATCCAAGGCTCAGATGGCACACGTAACTGAAAACACAGAGACTAAAGGCTTTCACGCTTCTGGATAGAATGGACAGAAGATCGTCCTGTGGCCACAACATCTCGCTGATGGTGCCTTGGCAAGATTCAATTGTACTCCGTTTGATTGTGATTCAAGGTATTTCAAGGAGCTAAAGCTAACCGGTCTCATGACTAAAAGAACATAAAAGGACTAAACAACTCAAGGACAAGACCCTGTGTCAGATCTGGATGATGCAGGTGGAGCCAGAAACATTTCCACACCACCACCGCTTCGGTGTAGATGATACCAATGGCCATGATCCTGCAAGAAAGATTAGATCAGCTAAGCTGGCCAAGGGATCCAGTTAAGTAGCGATGGCCTCGAACCTAATGTAAAGAAAACAAGAAACTTTCCTTTGTTATGTTTCTACAAAACTCTTTTCTAGAGCAAATCTTGGAACTCACCCATCTGATCTGGTCTTCCAGTTGAAGCTAAGTATCGGCGACAAATATCGAAGCCCGGAGAGATCTCGGGGTAAACTGGGGAGCAAAACCAGAAGGAGAGCAGCAACCTGAAGAGAATACGTTTGCTGAGAATGCGCCGACGATTCATCCCAAAACAGTGCAAAATGTGCAAGTAGTTCTTGAGGTTTGCACCAGGCATTTCGTTCGAAGCTCATCCAGCTCCTGCATTTCTTCAAGCGACAGCTCTCCTCAGGACAGAATGAACGTTTCCCGGATTAGGCCTTGGACTTGACTACCCTGAATTGTGTTAAATACAGCTTCTGCTCAGGCTGCGGCTCTCCAAAGTTGGTTGCGGCCAGTATCCTGGTCACGGCGAATTATGGCGCACAAATGTCAAGAGCCTCTAAGTAATTGTGTTTTCAGTCGGAAAGCAAAGTGAAGCCCAGTCTCCAAGTCAAGTTTGTGCATGCATGAGAGGGCACCAAAAAGGGTGTGAGCGTGGTTTAGCAGCCTTGGGCTTTGGTTGGGTTTGGCCGGCTATCTAAAAAACACTGAAGGGGTTAAGGGCATTGCGCCCCCCCGCGTCAAGACCAAACATGCGTGAGTGAGTTCATGTTGGCAAGTACCGTTGTTCCTCAGACCTAAGATTCAGTGCATCGAGTGCGCTATCTAGGGCCTACGGCCTACGGCCGTGTAGTTTGCGGTGCGGCCGGTTTGAAGTGCCTGGAGATAAAGCTTCAACGATACTCGGAATGAAATCACCTCAGGTCTCTCTGACTCACTGTCGGGAGTTCTGGAAAGCACACAATTGTATTCGAACTGCTTCAAGGAATTGTAACAAGTGTAGGTTTGAAGATGTTTGAAGAGTCCAAGCTGCCAAGGAAGATGAAATAAGTGATGAGTGAACCATTGCCATAGAGAAAGAGCATGAGATCCTTGGAGCACAAGGCTGTCCACAGCTCAAACGGTTAAACCTTGTTGTCTCATGTTGTCTCCGTCTCCAAGCTGACGGCTAATGCCACACCGATGCTTTGACCAAAAACAAAGCCTAGGTCCACAGAGTCCACGGAGAAACGGGTAGGAGAGGTCGAAACGTCAAAACGGTTTCTAGCAAAGACGCAGACCTATACGGTTTCTTCATCAATCATCCAAACATATCCAAACGGTTCCTACTAGCGATGGCCTCCAACCTAGATTTTTGAGGAAATTAAGACATAGACCTTTCGTGACCATTCATGACCTTTCTGCCAGATCATTCTTTCTGTCTCATCAATGCCCTTTATAAGTATAGCACCATCGGAATTTACGAAGAGCCCGAAACCATGAGTTTCAGAAGGGTTCTTGAGCCGTCCTCGCATTAAAGGCGACACATACACTTGGATCCGTGCTCGCCGGAGCTCTATCAGTTTTGGAAGTTCCGGCAAACTAGCTACTGATTGCAGTAGCCCTTGGCTCGCACACAACGGCAAGAATGCTGGGTCAAAAGACAGAAATGTTTGAACATCACGCGTTAGCACTTTATGAAAACTGGTGCAGGTACACAATGCGGCGTCCCACATTGCTTCACCACGAGCTGACAGTGTCTTCGTTGGGCAGTCTGTCAGTCGTGCACTGCCCCCCCTGCATAGCGATGTACAAGTGAGGGAAATAAGTGGTGAATTAATGTGGCAGAGCTACTTGGAAACAGGAGTTGAGACACACACAAGCCGAGTGCCGCTCTCATCAAGTTTCCCAAGGTGTAGCGGTGCTGCAGTACAGCGCTCTTCATGAGCACCTCCATACTCACCTCAGCCGTCTGCCGGTCATTCCCACCTTCCTTCTCACCTCATCACATTGTGTCGCCTTTGGTCTTGATTCCACCAAGCCATCGACGCTCTACCTTGTGCTACGTTGGCTGAATGCATCAGAGTGACAGCTGCAACACCGCCTGCCTCACATGACATTGGCGCATGTATGTCTTAAGGTTAAAAACATGGAGCAACATGACATTCCTAATTTCTTAATCGTCTCCATCAAAGCGAACATTCCACAAATGTCCGTTCCTTTAGACGGTCACGGCAGGCTCCCCACTGTTTCCCGCTGAGGCGCCAGAAGCAACAAAATGATTCCGAGCAAGAAGCCGGACTGTCGCATCATATAGGCAATTGTCAGGATACCTGTCCGTGATCTCACGATTGGATGTCACTTGTCGGCACAAGCGAGACTTCCATACATGCGAAAACCCTTTCACGTGCACTTTCTTTTGGCTGTCGATCGCGCAACCAGCCTCCTCCGAGCGATGTTTGGACTAAAACGAAAATACTTTGCCGGATGCCACCGGCTGTCAGCGGTGAAAAGGTCTTGTTGATTCTCGAGCGTTCCTGAGAAACCAAACACACGCGCTGTAAAACATGTGAAACATGAAGTGCTTTCTTGTACCTTTCCTACGTTACTACACTACACGTTGTCCCATTCTGGCAAAGCTCCGCACAGCCGCCCCCGGTTTTCAGAGCAATGTCAAGACGGCGAGAAGACATGCCATCTTCGTGTTTGCTTGGAGTCATGCTTTCAGTAGACTTACTGTATTGGCAGTACTGCCATTATTCAAAGTGTCTTCCTTCGAAATAAGAGGTCCGTTCATCTGTGCTTCCAAACGCTTTCCCAGGTCCTAATCAATGCCGAAGGATCATAGAAAGACGTGGCACGGCTTCCCAAGCCAGCAGGAGCACCCAGGTCTCATATACAGAGAGGTACTGATCCGTTCAGCTCTATAGATATGCACAAGACTGTTGCACCTACTTGGATTTGGATGGATTTGGTGCACAATAAGAGCGATGGTCTCCACCCTAAACGACTCATTGTTCCGGCCTGCAACATCATCTGTTGCCGACTCCATCCGCTCTCGCATGGGTGGTGTCGGGAATGACATGGCGTCACAGGCAATGTACTGTCCTTGCTCCTAGTAGTAAGGCCAGGAGCCCCTAGTAGCGTCCGATCGCTCCTAGTAGCGAGGCCAGGAGCCCCTAGGCTTCACAATTCACCGATTTCGGCAGCCGTGGCTTGGCAGAAAGGCTTTTCTTGTAAGGCAGTGCAAAAGGCTTTTCCGATGTTTTGATGCTCTCTCTTCTGAAACAAGAAATTGTGGATTAAATCTACACCTTGAGGGAAAAGTACCCACAGAACACAAAGACACTGATTGCGATCGGAAGCAAGCAAAAACTGTTCCAAGCTGGGCCATTGCTATCAGGTTGGAGGCAATTTCTACTAGGTTCCTTTTGCTATTAGGAACAAGAAGCTACTAGAGGCTCCTGGCCCTACTACTAGGAGCAAGGCGCTCCTGGCCTCGCTACTAGGAGCAATTTGCTACTAGGAGCTTTCGTTTGCTACCGGTTCCTTTTTGCTATTAGGTTGGAGGCCATTTACTGTCCTCCCCACGTTCCCGAGCCGCTTCCAGAAGCCGTGAGGCCGCTGCATCCTGACGCTCATTGTTTGAACAACGCCGTGAAGCCGCTGAGTTGTTCTTTGCCAGTCGGTTTCTTCTATCTTCCTTTTCTTTCTGTTCTGAATGTGATGACAATAGGATCTTTCTGTGTCATGCTTGAAGTGGAGGAAATGAAGGTGCTTAAGTGTCGTCGCGTTGTGCAATACAAACAACACTTGGTGTGCTGAGGCTGGAGCATAGCGACACCAGCCTTGATCTCCAGCGAACTGCCACTCAAAGCTTCCTGTGGTGCCATTGCAATGGCACCAGCTTCCACGTTGGACAATTGCATATTCTATGAAGAAAGCTTCTTTTGACAAATGAATATCTTTAGAAGGCACTTGGTGGCCCTTGCCTTGCTGCTTGCAAGAGTTGTTCCTTTAACTTAAGTCTAGAAAGCCTAGCAAAACCCGGAAACCTGTATGATCCTTCTCTTGCCAATCAAACCGCGCACTCTGACACTGACGACTCACATCACTCAGTCTCTGACCAGAGTCGCCGCTCGAAGTATTGGAGTTGCCTGCAGCTTCACAGTGTCGCACCACTCACAAGCCAACATGTTCGACATTGTTAGTAAGACAAAAAGAAAGGAGTAATAGCGATGGCCTCCAACCGATTAAACATTGTTAGTAATACGGTAGCAATGCTTTAGCATTTTGCCTAAAAAACACCGAGGCCTCTGTTTTCTCAGTTTCATCGCAGCATCTGGTAGCTGTGCTATTTGCGTGGCATCTCTGTTGTGTCATTGTATACGGCGCTATCCTCCCACCCAGCAAACCCATGAATCATCATGAATCCAGTCTGCAAGTCCATTCAAGTCCTTTTCTCCATCCAACTCTCTGTCCAAGCGTCCTTGCTCCTAGTAGCGATGCCCTTTGCTCCTAGTAGCGTCCTTGCTCCTAGTAGTAAGGCACTTGTTACTAGAAGCGATGCACTTGTTCCTAGTAGCGTCCTTGCTCCTAGTCTCTTGCCTGACAGGCCCAGAACTGAGAGTTCAAGTGGTAAGGAGCCTGGGATCCCGTCGGCGACGCCCCACGTCGGGGCGACGGGTGCAAGTTGTCGAAGGGAGAAGCAGAAGCAGAAGGAGAAAATAACAAGAACACAAACTCTTAAACAACACTTACAAGTAGACAGTAAACAAAAATAGAAGTTGGAAGCTATTGGGTTGGAGGCCATCGCTATTAGGTTGGAGGGTATCGCTATTGGGTTGGAAGCCATTGCTGTTTGGTTGGGGGGCCATTGCTTCTAGGTTGGAGGCCATGGTGTGTAAACCCACATTGCCAACATGACGCCGGCCGGTTGCGTGGCGTGGGGGTTGTGCATGGGGTTCGCTTTGGGGTGCGGTCTAGAGACCTTCGGTTGCCAAACGTGGGTTTAAAGAAAAGAGTGAGGTAGATCAAAAGTAGAAAAAGAAACAAAACCCACAGTACAATGGGGATGCTTTCTTAGTTCGTGTTTTCCTTGTTTCGTTGTTCTTTTCCGGTTCCCCGGAACACGTCGGATTTTCGGGGTCCCCAACGTCCGGGTGCATGCCGCGCCCTCCATGAGGGTGGCTCGATCTGCGAAGGCGGCACGTGGAGGAAACGACCTGGGGTCGCTCCACAAAGTGCTTTGCAGATTTGCTTAGGAAAACGTAGCTCCGTTGGTAGCGATGCCAGGAGCCCCTAGTAGCGTCTTGCTCCTAGTAGTAAGGCCAGGAGCCCCTAGTAGCTTCTTGCTCCTAGTAACAGAGAATCTGTTGGGAAAAGATTTTACAGAAACAGCATTCTAATTCGTTGCAATAGGAGTACAGGCAAAGATCTAAGGCTGTTTTCAAAGCGCTCTTGTTGCGTTAGTAGGAAATTCGATTCAAAGTATGAAAACTAAAGCGCTCTTGTAAGGCGCTTCCAAAAAAACCTTGCAAACTGCAAGAGGTAACAGCAAAGAGGTACAGCCCTCCACCAAGGGTATAGCCTGTACAAAAGAGGCCCATAATGGCGTAAAGTCTATATTTGGTACTTAATGTTAATTAAATTCTTGTTTCTAATAGCAAACATTGTTACTACTCGTAAGGCACTTGTTACTAGAAGCGATTCCAGATCTTCCGGTGGACCTTCCTCAGTCTCTCGCCGGACTGATCCACCACATCCAAATGGCTATCCGCGTACTCCCAAACCTTGGGCGAAGCGAAGCTGCCGTGTCAAGAGGCGAACTTCGGATCTTTTCGAGATTGAAGAGAGAAAAAGAGAAAAAGAAAGAGAGGGAGAGAGAGAGAAAAAAAAAAAAGGACCGGATAACCCCACATGATAAGTTTTACAAATTTCAATTGTATATGAACATCACATGGGAGACGGAGTAGTGAGATGAAAAGTCAAGAACGAAGTGTGAGGAGAGAAGGTATATGAGGCGGTTGTTCTAAGACGTGTAGTATAAGTGATGATGTGATGGACGAGGATGAGAAGGAGGGGAGGGAGGAGGTGTGTATGAGTGAGTGAGTGAGTGAGTGAGTGAGTGAGTGAGTGAGTGAGTGAGTGGAGTGAGTGAGTGAGTGAGTGAGTGAGTGGAGTGAGTGAGTGAGTGAGTGAGTGAGTGAGTGGAGTGAGTGAG